ACATGTGTTGTCTACCTCCAGCACAAAACACAGAATCTGGATACAGTATGTGAGTGACACCTTTTGGCAGGATTGAAGTGGCAGAATATCAACAGAGTCTAGGAAAATCCGGCTAAAATAAACCATGAAAGGCAGAGAGGAACATGAAGGGGGAGAGGTGCACAAATAGGGTTCCCAACAAAGACAGGAAAGCATGGTTTATAGTGCATGGATGTCTCAACCCCCCCACCACACCCTGACAAGATGAGGCAGGGAGAGAAGACAAAGGCACACTCCCAAAGGCTACAGGAGAGTGGGTCCCCTGGGGCCTGCAGGTGAAGGCCAATAGGGGGAGAAGTGTGCAGAGAAAGGCAGAGATGGACGCAAGGGAATTCAGTTTGCCACTGAAACCAAATAAAACAAAGACAAAATTCTGCTGCTGGCCCAAATGTTTGCTTGGGCAGGCTGAAAAGAACAAAATTTAAGCCATTCTAATCAACATTTTCATGTTCTTGATTTGGAAACACTGGATTAAAGCAAAAAAAAAGCCAAAAAAAAAAAGAAATCACTCCTGATCCACACTCTGGAGATAACACAGCCACGTCACCTCCTGGGCACCCTGCCTTGGAGCACAACCACTTACGTCTCACGCCAGGCAGAGCAGGCTCCCAGAGTGGTGAGGGAACCAGGAGCCACTGCCAGCAAGGCCATCTGCTCACCAATTCCCACAGTCTGAACAGTGCCACTTCCAGAAGGGCACTGCAAGAGGCTGGCAGGCATCTGCACATGCGGCAAGTAGGGGAATGGAAAGGGAGGGCTGGATTTCTGCTGCCCAGGATCAGTCATCTTCATTCTGGGCATGAGCCATCAATTCCTGAGACATATCCCAAAAGGCCTTCAGAGAAATTGTCAGAATTATAACATGGATTCCTCACCATGTGCACTCTTATTTGCATCTTGTGGGAACGGAGCCGCGTGCAGGCTGCTGCTCCCAGTCACAGAGCATGCACAGTGCAGGCCCTCTCCAGCTCAGTGGCAGGGAGCTGATCTGCTCATTCTTCTGTGCTGGAACCACCACTGCCTGTGAGGGACACCTCATGAAGAAATGAAGACCAAATGTAGCAAGTAAGTCACCCACACCTGATTCTGTGCGAAGAGCTTCAAAGAAACTACTCCAGACCCTGTGGGGTTAGATCACCTGCTTCAAGATGAGCCCCAAGAACTCACTGGGTACAAGAACTAAGCTCCCAGGGCAGGAGCCAGATGCCCAACACATGCCTGACTCTGAAGCCTATCCTGCACCTTGCTAGTTCTCATGTCTCCTAATTATGTCAGGGTTCAAATTCCATCTCAGTGAAATGTTTAAATGCTATGTGTAGGTAGAGAACTAAGACCGGTCACTAAGAGAAGCACCAGCAGTTAGATATGCAACCAAAGCACATATATATGCACTGTGAGGCAGGTGTGAGCAGCCTCTGTCACAGGGGGAGAGGGAGAGAGAGAAAGAGAGGGAGAGGGAGGGAGGGAGGGACAGAGAGAGAGACAGAGAGTGAGAGAGAGAGAGACTGATCTGCTTTCTCTGATGAGAGGGAAGTCACACACGTTTGGGGCTGGAGTACTTTTAGGAGGCCACAAGGAATGTGGGCCATGGAAAAAGGCTTAGGGAAAGGGCACAGTCAGAGAGCAGGGAATAGTCCTCCAGCACTGAGAACAGTATGTGGTGTGTGTGTGTGTGTGTGTGTGTGTGTGTGTGTGTGTGTGTGTGTGTAGAATGCACAGAAGACAGGGGCCAGGAGGGAGAAAACAGAGGACCACTAGGGTGACGTACTGGGGAACAGTGATGGGCTAGTGGGTGGCCCAGCAATGCAAAGGGGAGGAGATGGGGACCAAAATGACAGCACCACCAAGCAGACCTAAGAAGAAGCAGACGTGTGACACTCTGAAGACCCAACCTAAGGGATGGAGCAACCTGCTGCATGTGGTGGAGTCAATCTGACTTCTCAGATGCCCTGAAAGGTGAAACAGTTACAGTCATCCCTCAGTAGCCATGGGGATGGGTTCCTGGACCCCCTGTGGGTATCACACTCTACAGATGCACAAGTCTCAGATAGAAAACAGTATTGTATTTGCATATAAGCTAGTTACATCCACTTGTATACTTTTACATCATCCCTCAATTTCTTACAATCCTTAATACAATGGAAATGTTATGGAAATCGTTGTTATAATGTATTGTTAGGGCATAAAAACAAGAAAAAAAAAAGTCTGTACATGTCCAGGGTAGATGCAACCATTCTAGGCCTAACTATACAGAACATGTCAGAAGCAACATGACATTTTCTGAATTTTTTTCAACTATTTTCAATCTGCAGTGGAAGGATCCAGAACCTGAGGCTACTGGGGACCAGCTGTAACTAAGGATAGACAGTACAGCAAACAGAAAAGAGGAGAGAGGAATCTCCCGCTCTGAGGAGTTTCTCTCCCTACCATCATCATCCCTTAGAACCCAAACAATAGAAGTTTATCTTTAGGATCAATCTAAAGTAAAGAGAAATTTCACCCCATCACCTCACCCCCACCCCAAATAAAAACTGGCCACTCCACAGTTTTTTTCTCTAGGACACGCTTGGAGAAAAAAGGCCTGTAAATGCAAATGAACATGCAGATGTCAAAGAGTTTTAGTCAAAGGTTAAATCAGGACACAAGAACTTTCTTGTCTGGCTAGCAGGTTTAGAAAGCAGGATGGTATCTTTTGCCCTAGAAAGGGGGGGGCGGGGTGAACTGTCAAGGCCAGGGAAGAAGGACTGAAAAAGGGAACCAAAGGGGACAAGCCAGCATTGCCAGCTAGCCCAGGTCTCCAAATCCACGCCAGGGTCTCCCAGTGCAGCAGCAAAGAGGGACTCGCTGTGCCTGGAGTGACTGATGCCAGGAGTTAGCAGGAAGCCTTAATCCTGGCTCTGGCTCTGGCTCTGCTTTAGGGACCCCCCGCCCCATGATCCCCTTGCCTGCAAGTCTGACACAGCTGACAACTAAACTGGTCTTCAGAAAGGTGACAGAGTACCCAAAACTGAGTGCTCCAACATAGTGTTTCCCATACACAATCCCAGGCCTCAAATTCCTCACCTGAAAATGGGAAAAGACCCCTCTACGGTTGTTCTGAGGAATAAATATGGCAACCCAAAAGGCTGCTATAACATTACTTTCCATCGTGTAAGGTTCCCTTTGGTTCCAAACCAGATAGAAAAAGGGAAATTTTATTAGTGAGAAAGAGCCATATGCTCATTTTCATATTCCTGCCATTTATAAATTCTTTTTTTTAACAATAGCCATTCTTTTTTTTTTTTTTTTGGTACCAAGAATCGAACTTGGGATCTTGCGCTTGCAAGGCAGGCAGCAGAACCACTGAGCTAAATCCCTGGCCTGCAATTTATAAATTCTTAACTGCAAATCAACTAAAAAACAAAAGCACTTTTTTGTACCAAAGACAGTCTAAGCGACAGAGCTCAATGCTATGTCCTGGACAAGAGGCCGCAGAGAAAGGGATAGGAGAAGGGGCAAAAAGGGTTCAGACCCCAGGAAGGTGCTGTAGAGGTCGGAGGGGAGGTGGGAGCAGGCAGCTACACAGGCTCAAGGGCCCCGGGCAGCCAGCCACTCCCCTCCCACTTTCCCGCCTCCAAGCTATCTTGGTTCTGCTTCCCCTCCCTCCTCCACCCAGAGAAGCAAAGCTAGAGTTTGGCCCATTGCTGCCCCCACTTGGGAGTCCAGCTGCTTCCTGCCTGGGAACCCTGACCTGGGCTCTGACCAGCCCAAAACCACAGGGTGAAACAGTCAATTTGTCCTTTGTCCCGAGTCTAACATTACAAAGGAGGATCTAGTAATTGCAATAAGACATGTCTTTGATTTTTGCAAGCCAGTATTTCCCTACCCCCAAAATCTTTCCAAATGTGTGCCACAATCAAAGTGAAGTTTCCCTCCCTTTGCTCCACCATGTGAGAATGTCAAAGCAAGGCTAAGCATATTCTTACTCTTCTGAAAGAGTTTAACCAAAACATCCTGCTCTTGGTAATGAATGGCTGACCCCGATTTTAATACCTACTTCCTCTTCCAATTAATGTTCCTCCTCCTCACAAGATAAAACAGACATTTGTTTTTAAAGAACAATATCCCTAAAGTTTGTTTACTTTTTTTCCACTCTGAGGTCAGACTTCCACAATTGACTCCTTGGTGCAAAGGAGTATGTTATATAATGAAGTGCTGAATCTTCTGGAAACCAACAAGATAAACAAAGGGGAAAGTCTTAATTTTTGACAAAGAAAATCAAAAAATATTATTGCTGTTCACTAGTGAATATACTGAGGAATACATCTTAAAAGATTTTTTTCCCTTTTTTTATTTTGGTGCTGAGGATGGAACCCAGGTCCTTGTACACGCTAGACAAGCACTCTACCACTACACTATACCTTCAACTTTTTTTTTTTTTTTTTTTGGTACTGGGGATTGAACTCGGGACCTTGAGCTTGAGAGGCAGGCGGTAGCACCACTGAGCTAAATCTCTGGCCCATTCAACTCTTTATTTTGAGACAAGATCTTACTACAAATCTTGTACAGGCTGGCCTCAAACTCATGATCCTCCTGCCTCAGTCTCCTAAGTACCTGGGATTATAAGTGTGGATGATCACACCTCAATATGTAGGTTTTATTTTTTATTTTTGGTACCAGGGATCGAACTCTTGCAACCTTGCACTTGCAAGGCAGGGGGCAGCACCACTGAGCTAAATCCCCATTTTATGTATAATTCTGAAAGCACTACAAAAAGTGGTATATTCTTTTTTTTTTTTTTTTTGGTACCGGGGATCAAACTCAGGTCCTTGCGCTTGCGCAGCAGGCAGCGAAACCACTGAGCTAAATCCCCGACCAAACTGGTATATTCTTTCTGAGGGTTTTCCCTTCGAGAAAGGAATAAAAGTATTCCTTACCTGCTTGGAAGAAACACTTAAGAACAAAATGAAAAGTCTGCTCACCTGAGGTTTACCTTTCGCTCATCATCGCTGCCAGCCTCCAACTGCAGAGAAAGAAAGAGAATGTCATACCACAGACAGCGCTATCAATAAGCCTCACACAGCAGTCTCCCAGTCTCTACCCTGGTTTCTCTACCCTGCTGTTGGGAAGAGATAAAGATGTCCAGGAAACCTGGCTACTTCTAAATAGCTCTGCCCTTTCCTTACAACCTGACCTGCTGTTCCTTTGAGTAATTTCCATGGAGGATTTTCAGGTTTCCGAATGTTTATGCACATTCCTGCCACGGTCTGGTGGGCTGACTCCTGTTAACTGAATATTTCCTATTTGGCACTGCTGTCCAACACATTCCTTTAGCTCTCAAATTTCCAGACTTGTTCTGGATCGTATCCTCTTTTCTGCTGCTTAAAAGGAAGGGGCGATGTTTGAAGAGAATCCATTTCCTCTGTCAAGTAGGGCCTTACTGAGTGAAGAACACCATTTTAAAAAGCTATTCTAGGCAAGTCTCACCATGGAAGGTGGCCAGGAAACTGGCTCTCTGTGGGTCTCCAAAGGTCTTGGTCCTTCTCATTAAGACTTAAATGTTTAATACGAAATGTTCTAGGCTGTTGGTTTATTTGTACCAATGAAAGAACAAGATATTTTCTATAAGCTAAAAGGTCAAAAAGTTGAATCCCAAAAGTAACTTCTCTGTAAGCTCAAATCAATCTCTCTCAGTCTCTCCCTTTTTTCTTTCCTTTTTCAACAAAAAAACTGAAAATGATTAGAAAACTGCACCATAGGGACTTGGCATGTTTTCTTTACCTTACACAAAAGCACTCATTGAATGGAAGGGAACCCTGGAGAGGTGAACGGCCAGGAGAGATGCAAGGCTGACTGAGGACTGAAATGAGGCAGAAGCCAAGGGCAACAGGTAGAGAGTAATGCATGGAGGGGTCTGGGCAGCAAAGGACACACACCAGGAGGTGGCAGTTTCCACCAAGAACCAGTATGTGTGCGGGCCCCAGAGTTCCTAAATTGCATTATGATAATGTCTGTAATTGAATTATGCAGAGGCATACGCTGGAGTCAATCAATTCATGCTCATGCTCCCTACACCACATGAAGGTGAAGTGGAAAAACCAGGAAAGGCTTACTAATCACAGGCCATGAGCTTCTTTCTTGAACAAACAAAACAACTCACAACAGTAACAACAGGGCTGGGGGTATAGCTCAGTGGCTGAAGCAGTCGCCTAGCACGTTCAAGGCCTTGGGTCTGATCCCCAGCACTGGAAAACAAATAAAAACAGGAGCAACAAGCTCAGAAGAAATTGTGGGCTCTGACCCTGCGGATCTGCACCAGGGGCCAGTTTCCTCACCAGGGGCCAGTGATGTCTGGAGGCACTGTTTTGAATGGGACTACTGGCATCTCATGGGCAGAGGACGGGGTGTGCTAAACTTCCCGCAATGCACGGGCCAGCCCCCCACAACAGAAAATGTTCTGACCCCAACAGTGCCAAGGTTGAGAAACACTGGTCCAACCTAAAAAAGTGCCTGGAGATCAGCCTATGAAATCAGTCACTTTGAACAACTGTCAAAAATAACAATGTTCCGATCCACTCCTGAAAAATGTTGGCTTATCTTCTCCTGGGCTCTGTCTGTTCTCACAAAGGAGTTGAGATAAGGTTAACAGGAAAATGACACACACCAGATAATTAAAGATTGAAAAAGAAAAAAACTGAGAGGAGAGAGAGCTGCTTTGGGGCTGAGGGCTGTGATTTCCCTTGGTTTCCCACGCCACGCAGCCAGCCTGGCTGTGTCAGGAAACCACTGGTGTGTCTCTGACTCATTGAAGAAGCTGCATTTTGATGAGTGTGAAATGATTTAGGGGTACAGACCTCATAGCCACTTAAATCTCGGTCACCCTCTGAGGTTCTCCAATGAAAGGTAATGTGAGGTCAGTTATTTCTAAGACACCACAGATGCCAAAGGACATCCTTAAGAGGTAATCCAGGCCTTCAGATGGGCTGAGGTGCAGATGGGAGGCAGCTGGAGAATGGGTGGCCCGGAAGTACAGCCAGCCAGGACCCAGGTCTCCTGACTCTATGCACACCTGCTCTCTCCATTCCATCTCCAATCTCGTCTCAGCACTTCTGGAAGACAGCCTCACCTTCCCAGAAATATCCTGCTTTCTCAGTGGACAACAAATGCTGCTGATGTACTGAAGTCAAATAAAAGCTGGCTGAGTTTTATTCTGCTGATTGGGTCATTAGCACTAGGTAAAAAAATAATGCTTTCTATAATAATTTTAAATGTGTCTAATGGAGACAAGATAAATTTGTGAAAAATGTGGTACCTTCAAGTAATGGAATATTATTCAGCCATAAAAAGGAACAAAGGACTAACATATGCTATGACATGGAGGAACCTTGAAAACATGATGCTAAGTGAAAGAAACCAGACACAAAAGGCCACACATTGCATGATTCTGTTTCTATAAACTTTCCAGAATAAGCAAATCTGTACAGGGAGAAAGATTAGTGGTTGCCCAAGGTAGGGGAGAATGGGACAGAGGGAGACTTTGAGTATAGCTAAGGAGTATCTTTGTGGCATGGAGTTTCTTTGTGGTATGACAAAATGTTCAGGAACTAGGTAGTGGCAATGGTTGTGCGATCTTGTGAATATACCAAAACCCACTGAACTATATACTTTAAAACGGTGAGTTTATAGTATGTAAATTATATATCATCTAAAAATGTTTTCTTACTTTTTAGTTTTGGTGGTAGTGGGGACTGAATTCAGGGAGAGCCGCACTATACCCCTACACTCCCTCCCCCCTTTTAAATTTTAAGACAGCATCTTACTAAGTGGCCCAGGCTGGTCTCAAACTTGCAATCTCCTTGCCTTGGCCACCTGAGTAGCTGGGATTGCCATCGTGCACCACTATACTCAGCTGAAATATGAAATTTTAAAAATGTGTCTAAGATATGAATAGATCAGGTAGGGTTTAGGAATCAAAAATCCAGGCTGAAAGGCTCTGCACAACCTCTCCCTGAAGCCAAGCTCTTCCCTCATCTCACTCAGTGTTTGTGAAAATAATATGGGATTAAGTGCATGAAAGTACAGTACTTTGTAAAATGCCAGAGAGCGGTCACAGGAATGATGTAGAAGAACAGCTCTCTTCAGGAAGGCCAGATGGTCCTGCAACCTAACATCTCAGTTGTAGCAATCAGCCCTCAATGTTCTTTTGCCTCCAATCAGTGCACAGAGGGGAGACACTAGAACCTTCTGTCTGTAGACAGAAAACTCATTAACACCCTCTCCTCCGGGAGGAGGGGGCTGAGGAGGTTCAACTTCACAGCCACTCTGCAAATGTTCCTGCCAATCTCAGCAAAACAAGGCTGAAAAGCAACATTGCTGGGAGACGGAGCAGCTAAGCCAAATTCAAGTCCTCTTCTCGGTCTCACACTGACACACAAACCCATCCCCTGTATCAGTCAACTTCTCCCACTGAGAGCTGGCACCCAGGCCTAGATGCTGGCTAGCAACTTCCTGGGCCATCTCTATGGAGGAAGGGGCTCCTCCTCCCGCTGCTCTGTCTTCAGGCCAACACTCAGCCTTGCCATGGATATGAATTTAGACCAGAGGCCTTAAAGGGAGGGTAGAGAAATTGCCGGCCAAGAGGGCTGGCTCAGCAGCTGCAGAGAGACCTGCTCAGTGGCCCAGGAGGTTCCAGCCTGGGGCAGGCCAGGCCCATTCTGCCCACTCGGAGGGCATCGGCTCCCCCATCTTCTTCCGAGCAAAGATCCAGCTAATATGGGCCCCGGTTGCACAGACCCTCGGACACCACCACAGTGCAGCCAACACACTCTGAACCCGGGCCACAGACACACATTAACACACAGCCTGGAATGACTCGATGAAAAGCAACATTCAACTCACGGGCACAACAAACAAGTCACACAGAGCCCGAGGCACCCTCAAGTCACTGTCACAGAGACAGTGCCATCCAAAAGGCACAGACACACCTCCAGCCAGAACTCCAGAGGCAGTAGATAGGGAAACAATCACACCTTTGCAGGCTCACCGCCCTCCCGCCTGGCCTCACTCACACAGCATCACCCAGACCCACTCCCCAGGGGACAGCTCACACGCACAGCCCCAAGTCACATACAGTCTCACAGACACACGGCGGGGGAGACTCGGGAAAAGGGCCTGGACCTGCCAGTCACAGATCCTGGAACCAGCGACTCGCGCACAGGCACCCATAGGGAGCTCCAGTCACACACTGGGTCCCCACACTGCCGCCGCAGGAAGCGGGTCACTGTCCCCCCAGGCCGGCTGCTCCGGTCAGTTCGCCAGGCGGGGGTCCCCGAGGCTCTGCGCGCGCGGCCCAGGCCTGGCGAAGGGCCCACGGCTCACCTCGCTGTTGCTGGCCGAGGAGGAGGCGGCACTGGGCGTCGGAGAGCGCTGCAGGGTCACCAGAGCCATGGCTGCGGCGCGGCTCACCGACGCCACCGAGTCCCACAGCTAGAGCAGCCGCCGGGCCGGGCCCGGGGCCTCCAGGAGCCGCGCGCGGGCGGCCGAGCCGGGCCGGGCCCGCCCCTCGCCCTCGGCGTCCACCGCCCCCACCCCACCCCCCCGCCTCCCGCGCCGGCGCGCGTCGGGTCTGCTGCGCGCGGGGGGAGGGGATGGGGCGCGCGTGCGCGGGACCCGAGCGGCGGCTCCGGGAGGCCGGGGCTGGGCAGTCACGCCTTCGCCCCCGCCCGCGCTCGGGTCCCCCGCTAGCCTTTTGGGGCGTCCTAGCCGGCAGCCTACGCTGGCCCGGGTGGGGAAACAGGTCTGGCAGCCGCGCTGCAGCAAGGGGATGGGAGATGCATGGGAGGAAACAGGAAATAAAAGAGCCCCTGGCCCTTGTGCTCTGAACTTCTACGGTCAGTCTTTGCAGAAATCAATTCGTTCATTCATTCGATTACAAAGTATTTAGAAGATCTCTTCTAAGCGCCAAGCCTGGTGTAAACAGAATAGATTAGGTTTGCCTTCTGGAATTGACGGAGGTTAATCAAATTAATAAATACCATGGAGTTGGGAGTGTAACAAAATGGTAGAATACTTGCCTAACACTCCCAAGGACCTAGGTTCAATACTCAGTGACTTGGGAAGGTAAAAAATAGTTTCATAATCTTTTCCTATGAATTATTTTATTTTTTTGAGACAGGGTCTCACTGGCCGTGAATTCATCAGGTAGCCCAGGTTGGCCTTGAACTCGCAGTGATCCTCCTGCCTCAGCCTCCTAAGTGCTGGGGTTACAGGCGTGGGCTACCACATCTGGCTTCCTATTAATTCTTTTTATGTGTCCAGACACTCAGCTAACTCCATGGGAGGAAAGGAGATGGAAGAGGAGTCTTCAGGGAGGGATTCTCTAAGGGAGAGAGTTTTGCTCTGAGGCCTGATCTGGGAAGGGAGAGGAGACACCCCTCCCCAGATGGGCTCTGACCTACAGAAAGGCCCAGAAACAGGAAGAGGGTTGTCACCCAGAGGCCAGAGCCCAAGGAGGGGACGAGGGGAAGTGGTAAGAGTCAAGGTCTGATCCTAAAGGTCACTTTGCTGCTGTGAGGAGGACTGAGTGAGGGCAGAGGGGTGGAGTGAGACCAGGGGGAGAGCCTGCTGCAGTCCTGGGGAGAGTTGCCAAGTACTGGGATGAAGAGTCAGTGAGCAAGTCACTAAGGTGGTTCTCCTTGATTTGGTAACAGGAAACTTCTCTGGTACCCAAAACCCCCTCCCATCTTTCTGCATATACCCAGCACTCCCCAGTGCAGAAGTCCAGCCTTGCTCCCCGATTTAGCAAATGACTTCACCATCCCACAGCCCAGGTAGAAATGCACACAGCCTTCTGCAGCCTTCTCCCTGTCTTCCCCATGTCCTGGGGCTGTGACCTCCTCCATAATCCCAGCACTATCCTTCTCAAAGGGCTTCTCAATGGGGGACACTCTAGGCCCTAAGAGTGGGAATTGGGATGGCCAGTATTTGGGGGACTATTTTTGGTTGGCTTGCTAATTTGAGGGGAGGAACCAGGAATGCTAAATGTCCTGCCATGCACTGGACAGTCTCCTCAAAGAATTGTTCATTCTTACAAGACACCTAGCTGGTGAAAAACTTGTTTATAATTATCTGAAGCTAGAACCTAACTCCATTTCCTACATCAACGCAAAATATTTTCCACTGAATTTTCAGAAATGCAACCATGTTGAAATGAGGGGAGAATATACTTTCTGTTGGAGAGTTTTATCAAGAGGTTTTCAATATTAGGGAAAAGGAAGTTTTTGTTTTGCTTTTTGTTTTTTTGAGACAGGGTCTCACTATGTAGCCCAGGCTGGCCTCGAACTCACAGTGATCCTCTTGCCTCAGCCTCCCTAGTGCTAAGATTACAGGTGTGCACCCCTACACCAAGCTAGGAAAAGGAAGTTCTTCATGGCAACACCACCCCTAACATTAGTGGGCACGACACACCTGTATTTGTAGTTGTCTCTCTTCGGACAGATGGCCATATGTATTTAACCCTTATTTCAAAATGTCAAATGTAAGGCAAATAGAGAATACCTTACTTTTCAAACCCAAGCACATTCATTATAAACAGGCACTGGCTTCTGAAATTCTCCAGGTCCTCCTAGGCAACTATGTTCTAGGCTTTGCATAGAACAATCCATTTGACTTTGTTTTGATTTCTCTTTCTTTTATGTCTCCTTTATGTGAGCCCTCAAGTTTGAGTTTTTGAGAATTCTAGGCCCCACCCTTCCAAGTTTCAGATTCTCTAGGTTATGGGTGGGGCTGGAAAGTTTGCAAATCTAACAAATTCCCATATGATGCTGATAGTCCTAGTTTAGGGATTGTCGTTTGAGAACCTCTGCCAATGATCTCCTTACCAAGAAATTCCAACCTAGATCTCATGGCACTTCCGGTCTATGGCACTAATCCTAATGACCCTGCCTGGCCCTGCCTGCCTCTTCCACCACCCCCACCATTCTGGAGGCCAGCTGCACCTCTTCTCACTTCCACCTCTAGCTGGAAGGGGGACCTCATCTCTCTCCCTCAGCTAACTCTTGCCAGACGTCATGTTCAGAAGCCCTCCATGGCCCCTGGGCACTGTCTTTTCCAGGATCAAGTGTCCTCCCTCCTACCCCAAAACACATAGCAAGTGTCACTGTATTGTCATAACCTATGCATTTCTCATCCTGAATCATTACCATAGAGCCAGTGGTGGTCCCTAAGAAAAGGCTCAGGGAGAGGACTGGGATCAGGGTGAGGGTGCAAATTATAACGAGATACCTCAAAACACTCAGTGATGAGGAGAAATGATGTTAATTAAATCCAATGCAATAGGTTATCAAAATAAATGCAAAAAAATCAACAAGGAACAACAACAACAAAGTCTTTCTTTTTTTTTTTTTTTTTTTCCATACCAGGGATCGAACTCTGGTCCTTGTGCTTGTGCAGCAGGCAGCAAAACCACTGAGCTAAATCCCCAGGCTGTACAAAATCAAAATCTTAAAGACAGGATCAGTATTGCATTACTGATTTTTCCTTTCACCTCATCCTCAGACCTTGGTCAGCAAAGCAATTTTATTCATCCTGTCTTGATTGGATTCTATCTAGATTCAGAAGTTTGATCATTCTTAAAGCCTTTTGCCTTCTGGGTAAACAGCCTGTGGCTTGGGACTGGTGACCTGAAGACAGTAGGGAGGGGAAAGGAGAAGTGAAAGCCCCCAGGCTCCAGTCAGTGCTCATTCCGGAGGAACCCAGGACGGGAGGAGGGGCAGCTGCAGGGAGCAGCTCCAAAGGTCTCTTGTATCCAGTAGAGCCCTTTCTATCAGCTATCATCATTTTTAAAAATCATAATTGATATAAGCATGTTTGACCTCATCCTTGCAGCCTCAGCTCAGTTTTACAACTACTAAAATTTGCAATTTACTGAGTAATTGACTCTCCATTAGGCATTGTAGAAAGTGCTTTGTGAGTGTACTGGGGATGTGGGTTTCCTAACAGGGCAATGTCCTCCTCTCACATTCCAGGGTCACCTCTTTCAGAAACCTTCCCTAGTCCCTGGCTGAGTCAGATACCCCTTTTCTACACTCCTGCAGTGACCCCCACCCATTGGTGACAATGACGTTATGGGCCTACATTGTGCTGCTGCCTGGGCTGCACCTATTTAAATGTATTCGATCTTGTCATGCTATTCTGATTCTTTTTTCATGGATAATGAAATTGATACACAGAGTGGTTAAGACACTTGAGCATTGTCACAGAACCAGGAAGTGGTGACATTAGTATGCAAACCCATATTTTTTCTGCTTTAGAATTAAGGCAAAACAGGAGGGTTCATCCAGGACACTTGCCAATAAGTAGTTCCCTTTTCAGAGCAAATAATTCATAATTCCTCCTTAGCTATTCATTTGGAAATGAAACTCAGAGATAATAAAGCTCTATTAGGCAGAATATTGACTCCCTAAAAATGTCCGTATCTCAATATCTAGAACTTGTGACTCTGTCACTTCACATAGAAGAGGTTTTGCAGAGATGACTATATTAAAGATGGGTAAGGGCCAGGGATTTAGCTCAGTGGTTCTGCCACCTGCCTCAAAAGCACAAGGTCCTGAGTTTGATTCCCAGTTCCAAAAAAAAAAGATGGGTAGATGGTGCTATAGTTTGGAAGTGGCCTAAGTGTGTCCTCCAAGGATTCATGTGCTACATTCATGTATTTGGTCCCCAATGTGATGATATTTAGATATGTGATGGGACCTTTCAGAGGTCAGGCCTAGTAGAGGTCATTAGGTCACTGGGTGCTCTGCTCTTGGAAGGAATTGTTTCTTGTGAGACTCTAGTTAATTCTTATGAGAAGATTGTTATGAAAGAAAAAGACTGGCTGCTCACCACTCTCTCATTCCTGTCTCACCACGTGATCTCTTTTGCTTGGTGTTCATGAATTTCATCAGATGTTCTTTGTCATGGAAGTATCTTATTTCTCCATCAATTTTGAAAGACAGTTGTACAGGGTACATCATTCTGGGTTGGTGGAGGTTGGTTTTCTTTAGGGCTTGAAGTACTTCACTCCAAGCTCTCTTGATTTGAGCATTTGTGTTGAGAAGTCTACTGTGATTCTGATGGGTTCCTTTATAGGTGATTTGTTTCTTTTCTCTAACAACTTTTTTTTTTTTTTGGTACTGGGGATCGAACTCAGGACCTTGTGCTTTCGAGGCAGGTACTGGAACCACTGAGGTAAATCCCTGGCCCCTCTAACAACTTTTAATATTCTCTTCTTGCATTGAATTTCTGGAATCTTGACTATTATATGCTTTGGTGAAGTTTTTATTTATCATGGCTAATTGGAGTTCTATATGCCTCACTTATCTGTATGTCAAACTCTTTTTCCTTGTTTGGTAAGTTTTCTGCCATTACTTCTGTGAACAGGTTTTTTTATGTCATTTGTGTTAGCTCCTGCTTTTTCATTTACTCCAATCAGTCTTATGTTACTCTTCCTTGCATTATCTAGCAGCTGCTGGATTAATCTCTCATAGTCCCTTGTTATTTTTAA